TATATCGCTTGCTTGCATGTCTACTTCCTTCGGTAGAGAGAAGTAGCATTCTTCTCTAGACCTACGGAAATAGAAGACAGAACCTGCGAGCACGTCTCTTTACTGAAACTCCATTTGAATAGAATCTACTCATTCTCGTACGTGGTTTTCAAAAGGAATAAGGGCATATTTCTTGCCTGGACTTCGTATAGGATACCTATAGGGTCTTATAGGTCTCCTGACCTATAGGATTCGGGGAGGAATTTTTGGGTTTGAAAACCCAGGCATTACGACGGAAAAGGCGACACGGGATTAATATTGGCTCGGCATATTGGTGGAAATCAAATTCCGATTATGTGCTTTTCCATGGTAGGGACACTTGCATTGTTAATACCGGTACTATGCGAGTTTGTTTAATTTATGGCCCCGCCCAACATATGTGGCTGGATTGCATGCCTACTTCCTTCGGTAGATAGAAGTCGCATTCTTCTCTCGACCTAAGGAAATAGAAGACAGAACATGCGAGCACGTCTCTTTACTGAAACTCCATTTGAATAGAATCTACGCATTCTCGTACGTGGTTTTCAAAAGGAATAAGGGCATATTTCTTGCCTGAACTCCATGATTCTATCTGGAAGATGGGGATGACAAAAAAGTAAGTGTCGAAGTTTATCGATTGCTACAATGAGGCAAGGCGAGACATTTGCGGATCTAGAAAACTCTCTTGTGAGAGATGATTCCTTGGGTAAGGGGAGGGCACTTTTTTGCCCTTTGAGAAATGCGAAAACCCAATGCTTCCATCTAGTGGCCTAGAGGAGAACTTCAAATGGAACCCTATTGGCCTATACGGCTCCGTATAAGCCTTATAAGGGACCCTATAGGTCCTAAAGAGAATCCTATAGGTACTATAGCGAACCCTACAGGTCCTATAGGGAACCCATCGGGTCCTATAGGAACCTATAGGATTCCTTTAGGTTCCTATAGGATTCCTTTAGGTTCCTATAGGATTCCTTTAGGTTCCTATAGGATTCCTTTAGGTTTAAATAACTATAGGTTTCATATATGACATTTCCGAAAGGGTACCCAGTGATCTACTGTGGCTTATTGAAGTTAGTTGTAGACTACATGAAGTGTCTTGGCTTTGTTGAAGGGGCCCTTATAGAACTTACCAACTTCACTGTGGATGCAAGTGAAATTGGTAAGTAAAGGCCAGGGCTATTTTACTACTGTTAGTTAGCTAAGGTGAACCAATTTTTTTGTAATTTTTGACTGATTTCTGATTGATTTTTTAGCGGCCATTATTTTAATTTTTGACAGTGATTTCTGTTGATTTTTCAGCAAGTCAATTTTGTTCATTTGTTGACAGTGATTTCTGTCGGGGTGTGTCAGCCAGACTTTTTTTTGCATCGAACGGGTTCTAGGAACCCGTAAAACCCCAATCCGTTGTCTCTGTCTCCCTAGCTGGCCTGGAACACCCTTTTTGGGACCCCAAGACCCCCCCCCGAGCCGCCCCCCTATGGGGCTGGGGGGATACTGGACGATGATCTGTCTGGGGTGGGAGGACGCTTCCAAAGTCCAGCTATAGAGCAACGGTGTCCGAATGCATAGCGTCAGATGGACAGAGACAGAGACCCTTACTTATAGATATAGATTTCTTCAAAAACCTTTCTCCACATATATCTAGTTTCATCCAAACTTTTACCGTTTTCGGGTTTACATGAGTCTCGTAGATTTGGCATATTTTATGCTGTCAAACGGACTATTTCCTCTTATCACGATTAAGCTTTCCTGCAGCTAGACACAGTAGCACTCGATAACATTTATTTGCAGGCAAAATGAAAAGGTGACTCTTCCATCGACGTCTGGCATACTTTCGGCATACCTTTAAACTGAACTCAATTTCTTTGTATTCTTTTTCTTAAGTTTTGCTTCAACTTCTAGTTCACAGGGTCCCTAACACTGTAGATACTAAAATAGCTCTTACACTATAATTAATCTTACCTGCTCCAGTTGTTCATAAGTAAGCAATTTTCACCACCACTGAACCTGCACATGTATAACGTTTCAATTACTAAAATTCGAAAAGGACGGAAAAATATTTATAGGCAATTCTGTATTTTCACAGAATATATTGATGGATGGTAGGAAAAGAAAACAGGAGAGGCAAAAGACAGCAAAAGAGCAGAGGGGAAGACGTGCCCCCGTAGCCATTGCTTGAAAAGCCTCTTCACCGTGTTCCATCCTTTTTACCATCCACAGCCTTTACGACAACGACGACGACGACCAACACGTGTGAGGGAGCCATTGGAGATCCTTGCCAGGAACATAGGAATTGCCGTGCAAACGAACACCTTTTCTGCAATCCTTCCCTTCTCAAGTGTGACTGTTCCGACGGATACATTTTTGACACAGATTTCCTCATGTGCGGTACGGATTCCATGCCCTGTCCTAAATTTGAAAAAAATAGTGGTCTTAGAACTCTAAAACCTACTATAGTTGCAGAAAATATGGTACTTTGTAAAGTTAGTGACGTATATGCATAACTGACATTCTGACATGATCGATCTATAGTGACTGGAGGGAAAAGATTGGGCGAATCGTGTTCTGACGATAGCGAATGCAACCTCCACAACCAGTGCGACAAGGAAACAAAAATGTGCACATGTGCAAAGGACTATTGGCTGAATCTTAAGACCATCCTTTGTGGTAAGTGGAAACATACTCTACATTATATATTGGAATGTCTTTGATTAATAGCACCACATCGATTAGAGGAGAAAATGCCTGGTGGAAGGGGGATTGACTGCAAGGACGAGGAATGCAATGTAGATGAAAATCTGAAGTGTGACGATAAACTCCAGAAATGCAATTGTATGGACGAGTTTTTCCTCCATCCTGAAATGCTGGTATGTGTTCGATGAGCTTTTCCATTTCTTTCCGTTTGTATAATATTTCACGAGCATGACGAATAAATTCTCCCACGAAAATCCGTCTTGATGACAATGTCCATTTTTTATATATAAACATGTCTATTTGAGGATCATTTCTATAGATATATCTTCCTGCGCAATGTTGGCATCAGATACGGTGGTACTTGTAGTGCGTCGAATAAATGCATACAAGTGAGAAGTTCCTGAATTTTATTGCAAATGTACATGCTTTCCTAAAATGTTGAAGACTATCGAAATCTCGCGGAAGGTGAATGGTAGTCACAACATGAATCCTTCCCCACGACTCGCACGACCAGATTTTGGATGTTTTTCCATTGAAGAAGGGGAGTTCTCATGGAGTTGCATGAAAACGTGAACTTTATTTTCTCTGTTAAAAATACCAGAATTACCCTGAGTCTCATTGGGTTGGGTTGCCTCTTTCGTCGAAAGTATCCAGTAAAACAAAAATAATTCCTGGTATCGTCTGTAGAGAAAATATCAAGTACCGTTCCAAAAGTACCTGGGAACCGAGCTGCTTGCATATATGAGGTAACTCAATGTGCTGGTAATTTTTCGCCAAGCCTTCTTCGTTGAAACACCTCGGCAGATATCTCACCCAGAAAAAAAGTTGAAGTAATCTTGACGAGACAATGTCTTCGAAATGTTCATATTTTAAAAATAGCGTCATAGCTGGCAATGAATTTCATAATCGGCATCAACATCGTCAACAACATCTCAACGATGAGTCAGTATCGTTGTGCAGACTGGGAAAGGATGATTGCCATGAAGAAAGTGAAATCCTGCACAGAAAAGGCAGATGCAACGCGATGCTTCGTGAATAGGAAAGGCAACAATATATTATGTATACCGCACATGCAATTTGGAGAGCACTGGTTTACATGCGAATGGACTCCAAGGAAGTCTCGATGTGTAAACATCGCTGAGCTTCTAAGATATTACGTCCTCATTCCGTTATGTTAGAAAACATACTTTTTCTCCTCGAGTCTGAAGATTTATGTTTTGAATTTTCGAGAAATTCCTAAAGGAATTGATAGCAAATGATGCACATGGCAAAACAAATTAATGTAAAAATTGAAGAAAATATCTCCAAATTATCGATGTTCCGTCTACGCAGAGTATCTCTGAGTTGGAGATGTGATGACGTTGGATGATGTGCGAACTTGTGAATTCTGAAAGCACATTTAATTCAAACCGGAAGACATCAGTTGCGAAGCAACCGAGGTTTGCAGGTTAAACACAGCGTTCGTGATCCTAGCCGCTAGCTAGGCCGAGCAACAACTGTGTGTTAGTGTGTATGTGATAGCTCTTTAGGCCAAACGCCTCGAGGTGGGAAAGACTAGTTTTCTACAGATCTCTTCCTTATCATCCGAGGATGTGCCTTTTCGAAATTAAATTTGCAAATTGGCCCCACGAAAGGGAGGGGAGGCAACTTTCACGGAAAATCGTAGTTTCACTCTCGTCTCGCCGTCTCTCGGATGAACAAGGAGACGAGAGTTGCCTGCTTATTCGCAAGGGAGCGGGGGCATCGCTCAATGCAATGCCTGGCGCCTGCTGCTGGGAATACAGGGATTTTAACCGTCCATGATGAAATACGAAGCGCGAGAGTTCATTAGAGGTTGTATTGCTTTCCCGTATCGCAGTCGCTTTGGTAGATGACAACGAAATTTAAAGGATAACCTATGGGAGCGGGAGGCTAATATCGAAATAATACAGCGGTATAGCACCACACACGTCCGATTGGTCAGGCATGGATGACGTCACATTCGAGTGAAGCTAAGAAAAAGAACTGCAGTTGGCGCACCCATGGGAACGGTATAGGCATGCGTGCTGTAATTGGAAGACTTTGAGAAGATCTGTGACAAAGAACACAATTGTGAAGTGCTGGAAGAAGACTGGCATTATCGATATGGCTCTCAATGTGGACGACAGTGATGAGGATCCTGGGGAAGACTCGACAATTCGTGAGCTGTGGGCCACATTATCGATATGGCTCTCAATGTGGACGACAGTGATGAGGATCATGGGGAAGACTCGACAATTCGTGAACTGTGGGCCACAATTGCTGGGAGGTCAGAGATCCCTGCAGAACTGGGTTTCAAAGACTTTGTTGCTGCTGATGACCAACTGCTTGTGACCAGTGAAATAACTGATGATGAAATTGTGCAAAGTGTTATGCCAGCAGCTGACAATAGTGGAAGTGATGATGATGAAGCAACTGAAACTTCAATGACTTTGTTGCTGCTGATGACCAACTGCTTGTGACCAGTGAAATAACTGATGATGAAATTGTGCAAAGTGTTATGCCAGCAGCTGACAATAGTGGAAGTGATGATGATGAAGCAACTGAAACTGTTCCTGCACAGAAAACCAGTGCTGCTGATGCCTTTGCTGCTTTTGAGAGTGTAAACATTTTTTTGTCATGCTCGGACATTGCCAATGATGAAGTTTATGATCTGCTGAAACGTGTGGAAGATGCAATGTTGCCATCAGTGACTAAAAACTTTGTTCAGTAAAAAATAACGGATTATTTCAAGAAGTAGATATGGGGTTAATTCTGCTGAAAAATATTGTTATGAATAAATATTTCTGTGACTTGAAGAATACCAGCGTTTTCAGTTATTTCCTTTATCAAAAATTACAAAATTAGTGAATTTCGATATAACGAATTTTTCAGTGTAACGAATTTTTTTAAAGGTCCCTCCAGGTTCGCTATAACGAGATTTTACCCGTATATCATTTACACATTAAAAAAAATTCGCTCACAAGAGGATTAATTTAATCTTGATCACACCAACTCCGAAAAAAAAACCTATTCCATAGACATGCATAAAGGTCGGTATTGGTATCAGTCACCTTTCAAGAACAGGTTTCAGAATTCAGCATAACGGCTGAATTCTTGTATTGGTACAGCCCTAAATATAGAATATATGTAAATATATATAATAAAATAAATATATAAATAAAATATATATAAATTTTAAGCACCAAAATGTTCAATAAGATTCACAGAATAAGCATAATATTACGTTTTCTGGCTGCCACAAAAAATTTTCCACAACGTAACTTTACATTTGTGGGAGGGAATGTGTTAAATAGGTCTTTAACTTCAGCCACGCCCCTCCTGTCATTATGGAAGGCATGTACCACAAAGAAAATTATTTCTCCTAACATTGTTACCATTTTTCACTCTCTTGGAACAACATAATAATATATTCAGCCCTAAGTTAGCCCTGCTAGGAAAAAAGTGACAACAGATAAAATGATTACCTTCACCACTAATTTGTCTAGATAAGTTATTTGGGGCTCAAATGAAGCTGAGACAAGTTGAATCATTTCACTAGGGGACTCTTTTTTTTATCTTTGTAGCAAAGAAGTTATGAATTTTCAAAACTCAGAAAATATTCCTAAATTATTTTTCCAAGTTATTAAGTGAAATCATACTTTTCTCCAAAATAACATTAAATCATAAAATCACAAGAAAACAGAGCATGAATATCAGATTGACAAGAAGTCTTCATGTACCAGCAAGTTTGTTTCCCTTCAGGCAAGCAAACTCACTACGGTGGCACTTCAGGACTCCATGATTAATTCCTTTGAAGATCCGTTCTCAACCAATGTGATGAAATTCACTTAGTTATAAGTCCTTCGTATTCTCCTCCATGAATTTACTTCCTACTGTGTGATGTCATAGGCAAACAAGCAAAGATCCTTAGTTTCTTCTGAAAATGTGCATCTCAATAGGTTCCTGCATATCAAGTTTCAGCCTTCCATATTTCTCCATTTCATGGGAACTAAAATTTTTTGAAAAATGTGTGCTTAAAAAAATGTATGTACCTCAAAAATAGAAAATTTACTGAGATTAAAACCCCAAAACTGCAGGATTATCAAATATCAAATAAATACCTCCCCAGGTTTTGCTGCAGCAAAAATGTTTTCAGAAAAAAATTCTTGCTAAGCCTCAGGAGTAAAAAGTTTACAGTGTTTACATATTAGTGTCCAGAGAACTATCAGTTTACCATACTTCAGCTTTCTATATTTTCCTACTTCAATATGGTGAAAAGTTTCCTACAAATTGCACCTCTCTAGAAAAATGTGCCATGCTCTCTAGAAATCTTGGAATAATTTTCCCTAATCTATTCAAAGGACCTTTTTTTATTATTAAGTGTTGAATATACAGGGTGGGCCAAAAAAAAAACAAAGCTATCATTTTTGAAGAGTTGTCAATCTCTTTGTAGGCTGTCGTTTTGATTAAAATTTGTAGGCTCATAAGGTGACACAATTGGAGTTTGTATACCAAATTTCAGCCATCTGGCTTTAAAATTATTGGAGTTGTAATTATTTTCTGATGACCAACAAAATGTGCTGTCGAAAATATCGATATAACCCTGAGGCTGGGATGACATGGAGGTCCGAATTCATTGACCTTCCATCCCTGCATGAAGCTATTATACAAAGGAAGATTGGGAGGCACTGCCTCAAAGGTTTATTGACTGAGCCATTGATCTGTGGTGTCCCAGACTACAGGCTTGCATTCAACAGAATGGAGGGTACATTGAGCACCTTTTCAGTTGAAATGAATGTCCCTAAACCAAATTGTGTGCTTTAAGGTTTTTGCATTTGTGCATCTGTTTTTGTTCTGTTTGCCTGCTTGTTTGTTTCTGTCAGTTGTGAGAATTTTAAAGTTGAAAGAAAAAATGAACTTACTTTTTTGGCGATGAAATGTAAATTAAATGCCAATCTCACAATTTTTTTTATTTTTATTTGAAACTTGGCATGCAAACCCTAATTGAGTCACCCTATGTGTATACCAAATGTAATCAAAATCGGCTGCATACAATCAGATTGACAGCTTACCAAAAATGATAGCTTTGTTTTTTTTGGCCCACCCTGTACATCTTATAGGTCTATGACCACTCCCATCTCTGCAATATGCCTATACCCTGTTGGGGACATGGTATTTAAAAACCTTGGCATAAGATGAACACAGGCATAAAGAGTTAAAGAAAAACACTTGATGAAATTAGTATCTTGACAACTACTAGTGTTTTAAACTTTACTTTTCTACATTTGCCTGTTTCCTCAGGCATAAATAATGCATAACATTTTTTGCCCTCTTGAAAGATGTGAGGGGGAAGTTCCTCAAAGTTGGGTTTATGCATGGTAATCCAGAAGTTGCACCACCCAAAATAAAGTATGCCATGACCAAAAGAAACACAGCCCTGTACAAGGTGTACTTAATGGCACATGGTTGGTGTTCACGAAATGAACAATTCCCACCAATACTTCTTTTGAGTTGAGTTGCCTAATGAATGGCAGGCATTGTACATCTTGTGAACAATTATCATAGGCCATTATGTACGTATTGTACAGGGCTGTGCAAACAACTACCACTGAGCCTTCCAACTGAAGCCATGGGTGCCACAAAAGTGCAACTTGGTTCCAGAAAAATAAAGTTTTTGCACTGTTTCTTTTCGTCATGCCACAGGTTTTGGTTTTGGGTTGTGCAACTTCTGGATCACCCTGTATAAAAGCCAATATCTTGAAAAAGCGCCTACTTTCCAAATTGTAGCCTTCCAATGTGATTGTTTTATTTGAGTGAAATGCTTCCAAGTGTGCATCTCTGAAAAATTGTCCTGGGGATATGAACCTATGCAATAGAAATTGTGCACTCTGTCTCAAAAAATTATGGAACATTTTTTCATTTTTTGCTACTCATAATCGGCTCAGAATATTGCTGTGCACTTTTGAGGGCTAACTACTACATCAAAGGAGCATATGCATGCTAAGTTACAACAATATTTTTTCACTGGTTTTTGTGATACAGACAGTAATTCATAGCATAAAAGCCCTGAGGCAGTGCGGCCAGAACTATAGGGGCATATACCTCAAAATTCAGTTGTGCCTCATACATGATGACTGACATGACATGTGTACAACCATAAGTACATTATTCTTGCCTGTTTTATACTTTGAAGAGGTGCTCAAAGCACCCACTGTCGATCTTTACAAAGGCACATGAGATCGGTCTAAACCCAGATACTGCACTGTCGCCTATCTTCTGCAACAGGGAAACAGTAGATTCCCTCTTGCTCATGCTGGGTGTGACTGGCTGCACTTGTCCACTGTGACCTTGCCTAGAATATGCTGTTGCACTTCTAGAATGAGTCTATGGATTTTGATATAACTTCATATGAATGTAAAATCATTTGATGTATTAGTTGGCTCTCAATAGCACACAGCCATAGTCTGAACCAATTATGAAAAGCTACAAAGAAAACTTTGCTCCAAAACCTTTTGGGACAGAGTGTATATACAGGATGGACCAAAAAAAACTGCCCCAAATTTGAAGCTTCATAGGTTGGGCCAATATCAATTTTTTAAAAAGCAAAATGAAGCATGTCTAATTTTCTTTCGAATGATATATCATTTTGGGAGGTTTGCGGGAGAGAAATGGCCGCTATTACAGTTTAAAAAGAAGTGACGAAAAACTTCCTGAGTTCTTTTCCAATGTCGCACTGCTGCTATCGCCTGTTTCTCCCGCGCACTCTCTTATTCCATGCGCCCCTGCATGATACAGATTGGTTGATGAGAGATCATGCAATCATGAGGCGAGTAACATGAGGCTGTTGTAGATCGTAGAGGGGGGCACATTGAACCATTTTTGGGTCATTAAAAGGGTCTGTGAGTATGTGAGTGATAAATTCGTGGTTGAGGAAAAGGAACTTTGAGTAAAAGCCCATTTCCAAGAAAAAATGTCAGCACTTTTAGGAAAACTGTAATAGTGGCTATTTCTCTGAAGCAAACCCCAAAATATTATATATCATTTGAAAGAAAATTGAAAAAGCTTCATTTTGCTTTTTTTAAAAATTGATATTGGCCCAACAGGGCCCAAGTGATTAAACTTCAATTTTGGGGCGTTTTTTTTTTGGCCCACCCTGTACATCAATACTGAGAGAAGCACTTCTACTTGGAATGTCATCTTACAACATTTTCTCACTTTATTAAAATTGCATCTCATGAAAAAATAGGAAGTACCTCAAAACTAAGACATTTATTGAAATCACTACTCAGGAATTCCTTGTATGCCTAATTTCAGGCCTCTAAATTTTCCTCTTTTGGTGGAGCAAAAAAAAATCATGCAAAACTTCTCATTATAGTCTGACTAGGGGGATATATTTCAGAAGTAGGATTTGTATTACACAGCAACCAAATAGCTACTTTTGTATCAAGTTTCAACTTTTATCTGTTTCATTGGAACAAAAAAATTTGCAGAAAATGCATCTCTAAAAAAAAAAAAAAAAAAAATTTGATTCAGGGGATTTACCTTAAAACTAATAATATTGCAGAAATCAATGCTCTGAGAATAATTTTTTATGTTAAGTTTCAGCTTCCCAGGTCTTCCCATTTTTCTGGAGTGAGGGAAATAATTTTAAAAGAAAGATATTTAATCACCCACCAAATAATAATGAACTTGTCACCAAATAATTTCAGCCCACAAAAGTATTGGCTCCATCACCAGATCACAATGAATTTTCACCAATAAGAATAAAAACTAAAGTGGTTTATACTAACGTGGTGGTGTCCACGACCATAGTGGTTTAAACGTAGTAGGGTGTGGTTTTATTACTAGAGTAGTAGCTTGAATACTGTAAGAGTCGTAAACGTTGGCTATCAAGGAAAGGATTTTTCTTTATTTCCGGTTAGACCTGTGATGTCAAGATGAGATTGTAAGGTCATATCATGCTTTGAAGGGACTTCAAGGGAGGACCTGTGTAACTAGTCTCCTTGCGCTTGTGTACATGTATGGGATTTGTGTACGGTGCTGACTTCCAGTTTCTGTGTGCCCTATGCATTAGAGGTGCCATGGCAATTAGAGTTTGAGGACATTGAAACAAAAAGAGACGCCTTCATTGCCTGCAGTGACGGCAACCCCACAAGGGAAGAGGTTCGGAAAAGTGCACAGGAGTATCTAATCAGAAAACTGGAGTATTAGTAGTACTTGAAGAGAACAAGACGCTCCCTCTGAGTTGTGAGAGCTCCAAATTTTGGATGTACATGCCCTGTTCAGATCAAGACTGGCATTTGCAAACATTCACTCAGAATGCTGAATCACAACAGGGATAGTCAGTATGTTCTCCCTTGCAGGCCTGCTAAAAGAAAAATTTGTTTCTTTTGACACATGAAATGTGACAATGATTTGGTGCTAACTCAATCAAATTTGGTGATCATTTCATGGCATCTGGTGAAAATATTGAGGGAGAATTTGGCGTAAGATTCATTAGGTCTGGTGATGAAATCATTTGGTGATGTAAATTCATTGAGTGACCAAATATTAATACTAAAATCTGGTGAGGAATCATTACTTCTTTGTGACAGTCAATATTATTTGGTGATGAATTAAATACTAACCATTTTAAAATACTTATTTCTCCCCCCTCAAAAAAATGTCCTGAGGGAATATAATTGATTAATATTTTTTCCCTGAGTTTATGAAACTAATACAATATTGAATACCAATTTCTAGCTGTTTAAGTGCCCCCATTTCGTTGTGGCAAATAACATTTCAGGAAATATATTTGGCAGAGAGGATCATGTAAGGTTCAAAGGCTAAAAAAAAACCCTATAGGTTGTTTTTTCCTAAGTAAAAAGTGGCATATTACAAAGACAGTGGGCCCTCTGGCCAACAACAGTGCCCTCTATTGGCATACAGCACCATCTTACAGATCTTAAAAAAAGACCCCTGAACCTCTCTGTCATGTATCAGCTGCATCCAGCTGTCCCTAGAACAGGTGAAGTTGAAAAGTTCATTGAATTCTGAGACGGTTGAACACAGGTCAGTACCTCACTTGAGGTGGAATGATCCATCTCTAAGCACTTTTAATTCACCTCTAAATGAGCATTGCACAATTTAGGCAGGGGTGCTGAAAAAAAGCTGGCATGCATTTGAATACCTTGTAACTATCAAATATCAATTATGTTTCTAGTGTAAACTTTTTTGCTGCATTTATGAAACTGTCTTTCTCCCATATAATATGGTAAAGCATTTTTTTTACATCATAGCCTAAAAAGTGTTGTCCATATCCTTTCAGGACTGAGTCTCACCCAAGCTGTCCTGAACTGCAGAATCAACAACCTCTACACTGCTGGATGACTACAAGCACCCCCATGACCCAAGCTAAGTCACTCCACCACACTCCCCCATATTTTCATTGTGAATGTATGAAAGTTTGATTGAGTGAGCAACTGACTGAAAGCATGAGCGAAAGGATGTGTGAATGCACGAGAGAATGATGTGTAGCTGCACAAATCTATTCTTATTCTAGCTGTACAAAACATGACTTCTGACCCATGATCATAGAACCTATCTAAATTCTTTACTATTACTACTAAACACATGAGAAAAAAAATTTTTTTAATCATGGAAAACCCAACAAAAATGAAAATAAAAACAAAAATATGAATAAAAATCACAAAATAAGAAAACCACCCCCACAATGACCATGCTGACTGATAAATCTTTTACTTCCCATAGCGACCCCTGGCCTGACAACACCACCCGGTGGCTGGCCGCGGACCCACCCAACCCCAAGACCTCCACTCCACCTTCGCAACCCCAAGACCTGGACTTCAACTATAACTGAAGACAAACCACCTTTCTATATCCTCAAATTGTATATTCCACTTCTCCCCACCTTGTATCCTCTTTCTGTAAAGGGCATGGTCATTGAACAAAAAAAATTTTTATCACCTATATTAGAAGGAAAGGATTCACACCCCTTCTGCCTTTAAGCATTTGTCAGTATCAATGGAGCAGCAATGCTTTAGCATTCTACATGACTACAGTTCAAAAAAGAATGAGACCAAAAAAATTAAAGTTCTTTGGCTAGGATAAGCCATTTGTATCATAGGCCAAGCAAAACCTACATATGGAGGAGATCTACCGCACAGCACACAAGTTTCAAGTCCTTTTCCCTGGAATAAGCACAGATTGCATCTATAACTTCTTGCTTGTTGGTGTTCCCTGGCTTGCAAAAAAATGCTGGGAAATTTACATTTGCAAAGATCACCCAAACACAATCTTGGGTATAAAAGAGAAATAAATTTAAATAAAAAAATAATCAGGGAATCCAAAAACCAGTTTCACAGGTATCACGAAAATGCTTGAACTGATCACTGCCTAGTCCCTGGTCTTAGAATCAGTAAAGTCAGGGCCATCTCAGAGTGACACCCATGTTACTGCCAAGGATAAGCAGGAAATCTGAAAGACTTAATGAGGAAAAATAGTTACCCACTTGACAAGTTCCTCATGAGGTGTCCAGTACTTGGTTGAATGCCTCTGATGAAGAGGATTGCAACACCTAGGACAGAGGTACTCCTCTGGCACTTGACCTGATGTCTTGTAGCCGACACATGCTCCATGCTGCCAAGTTGTGCACCGCTCACACTATGAGATGTTGAGCACAAAGCATTCAAACTTAAGGAAAACGTGAAAATGAAATGAAGCAGAAGCTAATGCTGACCTGGACCATTAGACCATCATCAGCATTGTTCCCACATGAACACATGATGATGTCATAATTCCACACATCCTCCAATCTCTCCTCTTCTTGTATCTCCTGTTGCCCTTCCCCTCCTTCCTCATTTTCCTTAATGGGTACTTTCTTCTCTTCATCCTTTCCTTCTGCTTTCTCTACCAAAGATGATGACACATTAACCTCAGTTGGCTTATTATAGTAGATTCAAGAAGAAAAAGTCTAGACTTTCTACAGGTTTGAAAGACTATCTCATTGAAAATACACCACTTTGGCAAATTCATGTCAGAGACCCCTTCACAGTTCTCAGACTAAATACAGGGTGTCCATAAAGTTACTTCCCTACTTCAAAAGTCTCTATCTCCATTATGGGGTCACCTAGAAATCTTATATTGGGTGTGAAGGATATATAGCCAATAGGGTTTATGACAGCAAAGTTTCCAATAAGTTTCCAGATATCACCAAACCAGCCAGAGACACAGTCCAAAGTCTGCAAAAAGGGTCCAGAGTCCACAAATATATCAGTATAGGCGTGGATGGCACGATCGGACCTGTGGGTATTCCATGTGGCCCCCAGCTACCTCCACCACCGCCTCCACCTGTAAAATGATGTGATAGACGACAGAACATAATTGGTTAGATGGCAGTGGCAGAATTTGGCACCGTATGCATTCCTTAAGCTCCACCATGTTCGCAGGATGGTCACTGTAAACCTTGGACTTTAGGAGAACCCACAGTCAAAAGTCCACAGGAGTAAGATCCAGTGAACTTAGCAGCCAGGCCTGTTGGAAGGACCTGCTGACTACACGATCCTGGAACGTATGTTGAAGAAGAGACAGGATTGGGCCCTTCCATGCAATGGGAGGCGTATCATGTCCAAGGTTCACAGTGGCCATCCTTCAAACTTAGTGGAGCTCAAGGAATGTATACAGCACCATATCCTGTCGCTGCTGTCTGACCAACTGTGTTCTGTCATCTATCACATCATTATACAGATGGAGGCAGTGATGGTGGTAACTTGTGGCCACAAGGAATACCTACAGGTTTTTGTGCCATCCATGCCAATACTTGTATATGTGCAGACTTTGGACTGTGTCTCTGGCCGGTACAGTGCCACCCTGTTGGTGAAATCTGGAAACTTATTTGAAACTTTGCTGTCATAAGTCCCATTGGCTGTATATCCTTCATGCCCAATGAGGTTTCTAGGTGACTCCATAATGGAGATAGAGACTTTTGAAGTAGGGAAGTAACTTCATGCCCCTGTACTTTATGCACCCTGAATATATATATTGTAGGATAACAAATACAGTAAACCATCAATTGAAAGTCACTGTTGGTCAAGGCTGACTTTGATGCTATAATGAGGGTAACAAACTCCAACCTCTAAAGGAAAAATGTAACCCTTTAATGCATGGTGTAGCAGATACACTACACATACATCCCAAACCAAAAAAACATTAGAACAATAAACAACAAAACATTACAATTCAATAGTCATAATTATGTGAAACCCTTGTCAAGTACGTAAGAAATTTGGCACCTGTGTATTAAGTAAAAATCACAACCTTTCAATAAGTCAGTGAGATGAATACTTGGAGTACAAGTGGGCAAGAAATACTTGAGACTGAGCATTCAAAGTTAAATAATCAGTGAATTTTTCAGTAAGCAAGTCATCATTTGATGAGCTGAACATTCAGCAAGTCCTCACAGTGAGATGTTAGGGAACCAGCAACATAGCACATGAATTCATCCACTGGTCACACATGATATTTCCCATACATTCATGACATAGAAGAAAGGAAATAAAAGACTTTCTTCTGTAAAAAAAAAAAAAAAAAAAAAAATTTTTAAATAAATAAACTTATGTTTGGCTATGTTACCCTGCCCTTGATTAATTCCATTCAATTTACAGGGCAAATATCAGGTCCCTCTGCCAGTGGTTGATGCTGGTGTACAAACACTATACCACTGATAAATTCAGCAAAGTGAGGCATTCCCCAAGTCCTTCAGTGAAATTAATTTCAAATCTTGTTAACAATGCATATTCAGAGAATATCCTTGATGTAACAAACCCCTTCTTTCAATGGGAAACCCTTTCGGTGATGCTGAAGCCTCTGATCCCTCAATTTTCACAATACTCACAGTCCTCTCTTCCTCTCCCATCAATGGAGCCTGCAACAGTATTGTGAATAAGTGATGTCATCTTTCAGTCTCTGGAAACAGGAGAACAATATGGGAGTTACACATACTGATTCAGGCAAAACAGTAATTGATGTGGTTACAGGTTGTGGGATGTCCGTTGGGGCAGAGATTAACTGGGCCTTCTTTGCCTCAAGGCGTGCAATCTTCTTCAGATAAGAAGGAGACCCTTCCAAGGGTATCCCACTCCCACCTCGATTCAGGGCTAGGTCGATCACACTCGGGGCATGAACTATATGCTCATATTCAGGATGGTAATGTTTGATGTGCATCTATTCGTGGCAGATAAGAAAAAGTAATGTCAAAAGCTGGAAGAACAAAGATCACCAAATCAACAGAGATGCATTCTTAAAAGAAAGCAGACCTGAAGCAGATTTTCCTTACGGAAACCCTTGCTGCAACCAGCCTTAGGGCACTGGAAAGGATTGTGATCTGTGAGAGCATCTTCCATTTCCTGCATAGAAGGTAGAGGTGCTGCACGCCGCCTCTTCACTATATCTCCACTTCCTCCTTGATAGAGATCATAATCAGCAAGAAAAAGAAAATTGCACCCAATTTGTTCTTGTCCAACTTCTACTCAGAATGCAATGGTACTACAAGAAGCACGAGGCTACCGATTTCTTGCTAATTTAAGAACAAAAGGTGTATGTCAACAATGACAAGGCAACTAAACTTGACATTTCAAGACAAAGGGCCTGTGCCTAAACAGGGAGTTTCATTACTTGGTATAGAGTTTTATTGATTCTTAAGGAAAATTGCTCTTCCTCTGGCCCACAGTGTTCAATAAGGTTGCTCCTATTTTCTCACCAACGCCAATGATCACTTCCCAATTCAAGCACATGGCATCTTGGAGTGTTTTGGTGCTGTGCTTCTGGATTTCTACCTTGGTTATTCTGCAAATGTTCTCACTCATATTTAAAGTATGAGAATATAATGGAAGTCTTATCACTAAAGTGACCCTATCAGCAACAAGAGAGTTCACTACAAAAGTTGGAGATATTCATCTCTCCTTGATTGGTTTTATGAGCATGGCTTGTTAAAAGCCTATCCCTTGTGTTTGACTGCTAAAGATCAAGGTCAGTCACCAAGCAATGACTAGTTTCTGCTATAATCTTTTTCATCCCTGCCAACAAAAAGGACCAATAAGTTTAATTATGTTATTCCTTAATTTATACGTGGGTCATCCCAAAAGTTCGAGAACAAATGTTAACATTTTCTTTGCATATGAAGCGGTAGCAATGGTCTTATCATAGTCTTCATATTGATGTCTCATGGTGCTAACGTAGGAATAATCATGTAACTGCTCCTTCCTGTTGCAAAGATATCGCATTTTCAAGTAGCCCTACATTTTACCACTATGTAAGAAGATGATCGGGCCCAGTGAGGTGGGATTTAGTTTCTGTGGAAACAGAAAAAGTCTCAGGTCGTGAGCTGCAAGAAGTTTACTGGGACAGACCTTTCGGGAAAAGTGCCATAAATAAGTGGGTGCATCGCTTGAAGCAGAATGGATTTCAGAGGATGATTCGCTAAGGACGACCTGACCTTGGCGCACGCTTGGAGCATGCTCCCCCTGTGAAACAGTGGGTTCAAGTGACCCCAGCAAACTGGTTTGCTGAAAGACTCGAGAAGCTGATAGAAAGGTAGCAGAAGCATGTGCAGCTGTGTGGGAAGTATATTGAGAAAGTTCACTTGGAATAATACTGCATTTGGTGTTTCAACTTGATGTATAACAAGATGTTCTCAAACTTTTGGGATGACCCATGTACTATAGTGAAGCCACTGAGAACATTTCAGCGCATGAACCTTAACATTACTTGGTTCAGCAATGACCTTGAGGTCACCTTTTTTTTTTTAAAATGTCCAATTTGACTCTAGATATTTTCTTTCAGCATAATGATTTAGCTGTCGTGTTTATAAATCCTGGCAGCATTATCCTTTCTCTATAAAATGGCATATAAATCACTACTAGTTCTTTTTGTTATTTCAAGCTCTGGACTAGGGAAGTATGCATGATGGCAATAATCCTGATTTTTGTCCTGCAATCCTGGCTGGCAACAGATGACATAGCAGAAGTGGTACAGTGCAAATGTTAGCTATATGCAAGTACAATAAGAAATGTCAACCATGAAAAGGTTTTGATTCAGGGTTTCAGGAATTCTACTTACTGTAAGTGGCTATGCTCTTTCATAGCAGTGCCCCTATTTAAGCATGGCTCTCTGTCAAGAAAATAAATGCCCCTATACACTGATAATAGGCTCTGCATTAGTTTACTGTTTAGGCTCTGACTTCTCTGATTCTACTAAAATATACTGGGTGTTTCAGAATTTGGAGGATATAAAGCAAATTGCATTGTGAAATAACAAATGCTTTTGGAATGGAAATATTCTTGAATCCCTGAACACCACTTATTCTCTGAATCAAACCTGATGTTATTACCCCTGTCAATTTGTTCATAAATTAACAGTTCTTAAGTCTCACTATCTTATTCTTACTCACTCTGCCATTTTATTGTTCAAACTGTCTTGTAATGTAACTTCAAGGTTGCTTACAAGGTCATAGACCACACTAAACCACTAAGATAAACAACAATTAGTCTTAGCATTTCTAAATCAGATTGAATCAAGTAAAGTAAGAATAGTCTGATGTCAATGCATTTGTTATATTAGTATGCAATTTTCTCTTGTACTCTGAATTCTTAAATATTTTCCAAAGGAATATGGTCATCATACTTATTGTTGAATTATCAGGGACTACATCCATCTAAAGGTCTGATATTTTCTAACCTGATTTTGCATGATTAGGACTTTAAAAAGGTTAAAGACCTGTTTCACATATTTACAAAAGCAAACTTCAGAATTGAAAGTATTGGGTTGACCCATGAAAACGCTATTTCATAATTTTATGAAGAAATCATCCTTTCAATGTAGCCAACATGATCCAATGTATTGCTTCAAATCCATAAGTATTTAAAATAATTATATTTAAAATATGTATTTCAATAAATTTGAGGTATTTTGTATTGAAATACAAATCACAATATGTAATTGTATTTTATATTTGAAATACAGTTCTTGGCATAAAACTTATTTTGAAAAACATTTGGCAAAATATAAAATATGTTTTAATTGGTTCTGTGCAACTCAAAACACAGCTACCTCGGGAGGCTTGCCATCTTTATTGGATGAGAAGTTCTTCAGTATTGGTGAAGGAGTGGGTCAGAAAGTCAAGGCAAACGAGCTGCATGCCATACAAAGAAAGCAAGTAGTGAAACTCTCACTGCAATATATATCTTCATGCATTTGAAGGTTGATCATGTGGCAACATCTTGGTGTGAATATGCTGACCTAGTCTACCTTTGACCCAAGTAAGGTTTTTGATTTGAAACATTGGCCTTCTCTCGGACTAGGCCTAGTGCAAGCCTGAATCTTGCCATCATAGATTAATATTTCTATTCTTTGCTTTCAGAAGTCAGTACATCTAGATCTCAATGATGATTATGAATGGTATAAGGGGGAGCAGTCTGAGTTTTGGAGAGGAAAACAGAAAGAATACCATGCTCAGCCAATGTGCAGTAAAAGGTCAATGGTCAGAACTTTTAACCCTTTGAGGAGTGGGTTTCTCTTTGGTCGATAGCACCTCTCTATCATCTCTCCTCTCCAAGATAGGATAGCAGGGTCATTCCATGACAACGCACCCAAAATGTTCGCAAATTAACACCCAACCATCTCAGATTTTTATTAAATTTTTTATACAAGGTTATTATGTCTGAAAACTCAGAAGTGTAAAATTTCAGCCACATTAGGTCAATAGGTCAGATGCAACAAGGTGGTCAAAATGTAGGGTCACCTTCTAACCTCCGATTTTGATATCCCTGTAACTCAAAAACTATTCGTACTAGAACCTAGACTAAGGTGTGGATTTACTGGAAATTGCCTAAAAAATTCAAAATTTGTATTAAAATACTACTTGGATCAAAAACACACAATGTTATTTATGGACAAAAAATTTGACCTTTGAACTTTGCATGAACCCCCAAAAATTAAAACCTCAAAAAAATACTATAAAAAAAGTAAATGACTCTGCTACTAATATGCAACATTACAGAGAGGTAATATATTTTGTATTCCATCAATAAATTCTTGAATCAGAAGATCCTTACGACAAATGAGGTGTTCCAGCTCAAGTAATCAAAATCATTGTTGCATGTGCAACTGGGATTTCATTGCAAAAATTCTTGCATGATGAACTCTCTGAGATATGAAAGCACGCCAGATTTCAGAGCTCTAGCCCAAATGGTTTAGAAGATACTGCACCTCAAAAGTTGGCCCCCAGAGGGAAAAGTCACCCCAAAGGCCAGATGGTTATATTCGGCCTTAGTTGAGCCAGAAAAAAAATGTTGGTTGGTGAACGCTGAGACTAAGCTTGATCAGATTTTACAGGTTTTGCTTTTCATAGTTAACCTTGTTTCCTAACAAATATATGATACTGATTTTCTTAATTTTCATAAAGTGGGAAGCATGGTAACACAATGAGCTCCTGTTACATTAAAATACTATATATGATAACAATGAAAATTGCTAAATTTGAACTATTTACTTTGAAACAACAGGAAGTTGAATTTGAAAACTACAATGGTATCATTTTACACTCTTTTTACAGTTTTTATTTTATGTTTCAAACATGATAAGAATGAGAAACATGTGCTATATGAAGGCTCCCTCAAGGAGACTTCTGGGAATGTATTATGTAATCTGCTAATTTGAAAGCTGTTTTTTTTTCACAATATTTTGTGATTCAAAACTTGCCATTTAATCTAATTAACTATTAATTAATCTACTAAAAACTACCAAAAATTACCATAATTACAAAATTTTCAAACTTCCTGAGCTTGGGAATCCTGGTGACAACCAGGCATATTCTGACAGAGACCAGTGAACAGCTGTTGTTCATTTATTCCACATTGCTTCAAGCAAGAAAATTAAAGCCAGAAATTATTTCAATTCCTGAAATTCCTCTTCCTTGCTGTTTTTTTTTTTTACAGGAGGTAGATGCCTAAGTAAAATGTTAGAGTTATACCAATACCCTGTGAAGTTGACAGTAAAATGTTCTCACCAGGTTCAGTATTTAGACTTGCATTTATATTTACACCTGTCAAGAAAGACACTTCAGCAACTAAAACCTTGCCATGTGAATGCAGCCCCCAACTCTGGAATTGAATTGTGTTACAGATTCAAGTTACTGGGAGATAGTGGTATCATTCCACACCACTTGAGGAGTGCAAACCAATATCATGAGGTGTATTTGATGAATGGTTCAAAATCGTTAGGGAGACGAAAGTTCAATAATATTCCATCGTTTAGAATTCAGTACCATGCAGTATTCAAATCATCCCCTCCGGATTTGTACATTTAACAATATGCTAAACCAGTGAAATTGATTCACGATGTTGGTCTAATCTTCTCAAGACATGTTTGACAGTAGAACTCTTTTCTAGCTCAATTAAGGCCTGAGACCATTTGACGATTGGGATGACTTTTCCCATAGAGGGCAACCTTTGGGATTCAATATCTTCTAAAGCATTTGGGCAAGAGCTCTGAAATTTAGAATGCCTTCATATCTCAGAGAGGTCATTATGCATGAAGTTTTGCTACAAAATCACAATTGCACACACAACCATGATTTCGATTACTTGAGTCAGAATGCCTCATTTGTGGTAGGGATCTTCTGACTCAAAAATTTATTGACAGAATATAAAATAAATGACTTCTCTGCAATTTGTGCATATCAGTAGCAGTCATTGACCTTTTCATGGTATGTTTTTGAGGTTATAATTTTTTGGGGTTAATGCAAAGTTCAATTCTAGTGTAACAGGAGCTCATTGTGTTACCATGCTTCCCACTTCATGAAAATTAAGAAAATCAGTATCATGTTTGCTAGGAAACAAGGTTAACTACAGAAAGCAAATCCTGTAAAATCCGATTAAGCTTAGTTTCAGCGTTCACTTGAGACAAACATTTTTTGCCTGGCTCAACTAGGGCCAAAGATAGATTTTGAGATGTAAATTTTTGGGGGTTTCATGCTAAGTTCAAAGGTCAAATTTTTTGTCCATAAATAACATTGTGTTTTTGACCCAAGTAATATTTTAATACAAATTTTGAATTTTTTAGGCAATTTCCAGTGAATCCACACCTTAGTCTAGGTTCTAGTATGAATAGTTTTTGAGTTACAGGGATATCAAAATCAGAAGTTAAAAGGTGAACCTACATTTTGACCACCCTGTTGCATCTGACCTATTGACCTGATGTGGCTGAAATTTTACACTTCCGAGTTTTCAGACATAACCTTGCATAAAAAATTTCATAAAAATCTGAGATGGTCAGGTGTTACCCATTGGTTGATTTTTCATGGAATCACCCAGCAGCAACCCATAAACATATGGGCTTAATCCCCATGCAGTTGAAAGTGTTCCTGATTTTGGGTCAAATCTAAAAGGAATGGTGCAACTTTAACTGTATTTTAAAATAAATATGTTGTATTTTGTATTTGAAAAATGTTACTGGGCATTTGTATTTTTTCTTTAACTACACGATTACTTATATTTTTCCCAGCTCTGTAGATGATAGTTTAACCCTTTCAGACCTGAATTTTGGCTGCTATTGGAATTATATATATTTTGCATTTTTGAGCTCTATTATGATTTTAATGAATATTTCCTGCTTTTTATATAGTTTTCATATTTTGTATAAATTTACCATATCATACCATATATTACATATTAAACATTTAATTAAATAACTGAAGATTAAAATAGTAAAGGGTAAGAGAAGACCTCTGATGGAACTGAGCCATGCTTACCCTAAATACATACAGAATGTATGTTGAGTAACTCCCTATTTTCATTTGATTTTAATTTGTTACAGGTTGGGTCGAGAAGAAAAATTATTTCAATTAAGTATATTGAACACTTTGCCAATATGGCTTAAAAAACTCACTTCAAGAAACAAAGCTGAAATTGCCTTGAGATATGAGGATTGAAAATCTGCTGTGCTTGTTCAGAGGTGGTGGCAACAACAACATGGAAGACATGGTACTCTCGACACTAAAACCATCAAAAGCAGCAGCCAAAAGTTAATGACAGCAGGGTCAGTAGTTAATCTTCAAAAAGCAGGTAGACCATTGACATTATTCTTCAAAGACAACATAATTGCTGTTCAAGAAATGTTCTCTTGAAGCCCCAGCAAATCTGTGCAGCAAGTTGCATGTGAGAATAGCTCAAGCTGCCATGTGGTTCATACCATTCTTAAAAGGGTTCTTATGCTGAACTGTAAAACCAAGTGTTACTGGACTGATAATGAAATGGTATTGAATGGTTTGCAATAAGAAATAAAAACAATATTCCTAATTCAAATATGACAGATGTCATTTACGATTTCAAAATATGGAGTTACTTAACAGACACCCTGTATATCCATGTGCATATGGGATGCAACTAGAATGAAGTGCAGTGAAACAGGATTTTAAAAATTTATGCCTTGGATTTCAGTTGATAGCCTAGTATACATGGTGGACACAAACTTTGTTACTGAGAAGAATAAAATTCTAAAGACTCAACTACAAAGGCCATGGAGTTGAAACTTAGCAGAATGATAATAAAAGAGTGGATGTTATTTTCAGTCACTTGTTCATTAGGAACCACAGACTGAAAATTTATGTTCCATTTTTTCAGTGATTTTGGCCCAGTTTCTTCCAGGAGTGCCAGCTGACTCCACTCTCTTTTCTTTCATATCTGGATGAGTGATGTCCAAGCACTTAGATACAAATGATGAAAATGCCACACCTAAATCTCAATGAACAAAAATTGTTTCATAGATGGATGTGGATGAGTACCCCTCAAATGCAAAGAAATTCCATGACACAATTTAACGAAGAACCTCTAGCAAGATTGATAAATCAGAAGGCTGTGTGAGAAGCTTCCTGAAATGGGAATTGAAGACCACAATATCCATTTAAGGTCTCTTCAATGTGCTTGTATGTAGAGGGTGACTTTAAACCTCATACCACTTGAAAATACTATCAACTGTTACACTCATGAAGCTAGGAACAAGATACTTGACAACTGTCACAGGCACATAGGGGAAACTTGTGTGGAAAGTGTTTCAAGCAACATGGAAATTCAGTGATTACTGTGAAGCAAAAGTTTGGTAATGAATAAGGGACACTTATAGTGCCAGGATAGGAAAGCACAGAGGCTAGTTAAGCAATTTCAATCCATGTGACTATTTTCTGTTGGATTATAGTAAGAATGTGCACGAATGTGACCCACACACAATTGTGGAGTTAAAGGAAGCAATAGTGAGGGAGATATTCAAAAGTTCCAAGGATATGCTGCAGGCAATCTTGATATTTTGTGCCCTGAATGTCCCATCACATTAGTGAACATTGAAGTAGACATATTGAACATATCATTAATATAATCAACCTCCCATTAGTACACATGACCATTGCCATTCCCATTCCTATCAGTTACATCATCTTTAATGGCATGATGATTAAAAAAGCACAGAGCACTATGGTGTACTACTGTGTAACCTGCTTCAAATGACACCTCAGGGAAAAACAAGGGGCATACTTCAGGAGTGTACTAACGCTGGGTAGGCACTTGAGGCTTTTCAGAATGAGAGCAATCTAGCACACCCTCCCCCCCCTTCCACTAAACTTCTCATGGAACCTTCTGATATTATGCAATGTGTTCTGAATAGTCTATGGACATGCAAAGGGCACTCGTGCACATCCACCCATTAAAATCCATTATTTCTTCCTGATTCATATGTGACACTTTAATCACTCTTGTCCAAATGCTCACCCATCACCCACCTGCAAATGAAAGAAAAGAAGGTATAGGGGAGCAGCACCAGTTCACGAACAGGGATCCAGTTAGCGAACGAGGGTCATGAAATGCGATTTGGTCTTTTGTTTCTCGAGTTACACGCTCCAGCTTTTGGTATCTGCAGAAAATGGATTGATTGTTTAATTAATGCTTGGGATGGAGAGTGAAACTAGAGTAACAAAAGGCCAAATCGCATTTCATAACCTTCGTTTGCTAACTGGCTCCCTGTTCACGAACTGGTGCCGCTCCCCTAGTCAGAGGAGTTTCTGGGAGAAACTGAGTCAAAATCAGTGAATAAACTTTAGTGAATAAACTTTTCAAAAAAAATTATGCCAATAGAACCATGTTTGTTCTATTCAAAATAAACAAGTGACTCAAAAAAAAGGGAACTTTTCTATCATCCTGCAAAGTACATTGCAGCTTTTGTAGCTAAACTTCGAGAAGTTTTTCTCTCAGTCAGCAAATTTCACGTCCAAGCTGTATGACTGTGGAGTTTTCCTCTGAACCAAGGGAAATTGGGAAGGGTACAGACAAGAAGGAGGATTACTTTGGGCCTCTTGTTGGGGAATGGGTAAGATGACACTCAAATGCACAGGGTCTGCTGCCAATTCCATCAACTTTATCGTCTCTCCCACTCTTTCTCCAATTCCTAATTCACAAAAGTAAACCCAATTAATGCAAGAATTAAGATCTATACATGCTCATTTTGTAAAAGACACCCTGAAACCATAAAACATATTTTTTACAATTTCGTCCTAGTGAAACAGCAATGGTCACTTCTATCAGACTGGTCTAAAAGCTGCCTCTCAAGAAACCTGAATGCGATTGAGTGCATTTTTGGATGTGATGAGGGCCCAGGAGCACTAAACACAATCTTAGTGCTCTTCAAATACTATATTTATAATTGTAGAGATGAAAAAAAAATTCCATCAACATTGACCCCTTTTTTGTACAAGCTGAAGGACTCGTATGAGCAAGAAAAGCTACTGGCGCAATGCCAAGGTCGGACGGAAAAGTTTCTTAAATATTGGATACCCTTAAACACACTAGTTGAAAGATTGTCTTAAGAAAAAATCCATAAGTTTTTTTTGTTTTTTGAACAAGTTCATGTTGCAAATTGAGGGGATTTTTCAGCGAGTTCCTTTTTTTCTCCCTTCTCCCCTCCCCACATCCTTTCTTCGCTGTGTCCCTCACATATTTTCTCATGTTTTTACTTTCCTATTTGTCACTTTTCATACGTGTATGTAATATCTTCTGAAAATTCATGAAAAAAAAAAGAATTAAGATCTAAAACAATGTCACAATATTATGAATGAATGACTCTATAAATAAGCAAAAATGAAGGATAATATTATACATATATAACCAAGTCTAGGAAAAAGGACTGCAGCACCAACCAGTATCAGTATTTAATGAGGGGCTTCTGGACTCTTCTTGTTCATCTTCTGGATAGGACCTCTTCTTAGCCTCATTGGGGGAAGATGAGGCAAGGTTTGCATCTGTTATAGTACTTGCATCATTCACATTATCTGGATCATCTTGTACCAGAGACATGTTTTCTGAGTCACCATTCCCAATGGACTTTGAGCGAGAAGTCAATGCACGTCCTCCAATGACACGTCCAGATCGTCGTGTCCGTGAACGATGATGTGGGACATCTGAAATGCTTTCTATGGATTCCCCACTCATTAGGGATGATCCAGAAGAATGCTTCGAACGTGGCTTTGGGGAAGCTGGAGAAGTTCCTTCACTTTTCCCCCGTGATCGTTCCTTCTTCTCACTTTTCTCTGCATTAGTACCAAAGAGAAATTCTAAAATCTCATCTTGTTATCCTACTTGTAAATTAGCAGAGCTTCAGCAAGCTAGACACTTTTCTCACAATCTACCTGGTGGATCTGAGATAGTCTTGACAAGCCGAGCATTGCCTTTATTAGGAGTATGGGCTTCTGCAGGACTCTCAGCATCAGTATTGGCAAAGGACCTACGTCTGCTCACAAAAACCTCAGAGAGAACCAGTTTACGACTCTTCTCTCGTCGACTCTCCTTGTCTAATGCCTCAGATTCTGGCTCTGCAAACAGACTTGGGAGATGTGGTGCCAACACTGGTTCCTTAGAGAATTTCTGTTCAAAGAAAATGGAAGCCCTCATGGTATTATGCACAAACCTGCTTAGCTGTGTCATTTTTTATTTGTAAATATGAAGAAGATGCATTACCACTTTTGCCATATCTTTGGGGAGAGGTCGTAGGGTTTTCCCTCGCACTTCCTTCTGAAATCCATCAAAGAAGACCACTCGATACATGTCCCCTTCCAGAACTTCCAAAATCTTGGCTGCATACCCTTTTTGGTCAAACCACTTTGCTAAAACCTATGCATATCAAACAAATATGTCAAATTGGAAAAAAAATTTATTCTCAAACAAGTTTAATTCAATTCAATTGAGTTTTACAATATTCCAGTTGACTGCAACACCCAGCTGTGGAAGCAGTCAAACATGCATGTCAAGCAGTCAAACATGCATGTCAGAGTCACCTGGAAAAGTGTCTAACTCAGGCTAGAAAAAAGTGCATGGATTTCAGAGTGATTCCCCTCACCTTGTCTCCAACCTTGAATAAAGTGTCTGGTAAGGAAGATGCAGAGGATCTAGACATGGACCTGGACTTCATTGCTGCTCCCTTGCTCAATGGACGAAGGTCTTTAGAGCTCATGGTGATCCACTTGTCAAATCTTTGAGACCAATATTCAAAATGGATCAACACAGACTGGTTCACCTCATCAATTTGTAGTACCTGCCATGATACAAATGGACTAGCCATCATATCCAATACCTCAGATATGACCCTGTCATGTTCATACCATCCTGACTATTCATGTAGGCCTATGAATGAATACTGAGAGAGCTATGGGATTGTTATGATGCAGTAGAGGGCGTCTTTGATTTAAGATCCCAAGATATGCACTCACATTCCACCAAATCAATATGAGTTCCTACAGATTACACCACCAGGAATTACACTCCCTCACATAGGAGAAAAACAGGACTCCCAAGTGTTACACGTTGGGATATGCATAGCATCTAGACTATTATCATGTATGCTGTTGCACACCTCCCTATGTAGGTGGGGGTGTGTGCACATGATGTACAACAGCCATATCAACATTACAAAAATCCATCATATGGAGTTACTTATTTCCCTCCAAATTTTAGATTAGACCCTAAATAAACTTACAATGTAAAAACTTGGTCATCAGTCTTAGTTTGGCTATATCAGAAATGTTCTGTGTCACCACTAATTAGGGATGGGTTATTGACTGGTCAAATAAAGACATGGCAATCGACCAGTCAATACCATTATTGTCTGTAAATGGTCATTTTTGACCATTTACAGACAATAATGGTCAACCAACCCAAAAAGAGATTAGCCATTATGACTGTATATTACCAATAGGGCTGTCAATTCAATTAATTTAATCGATTGATTAATCAATTTAAGTGCTATTGTATGATACAATTATAAGGGGAAAAAATAGGCATTCAGAGGGAGATTAGGGTGTTGATTAAAACTCAATTAATTTCCACTACATTTTAAAATTGGTATTAATAACTTAATCAAATAATCGATCGATGAAACGAATCAACTTGACAGCCCTAATTATCATAAATGACCAAGCTGACCAGTCAACATCTCATCACTAAGGTAAACTTTACCACAGAGATTGCATGAGTCAGAACATTAACCCTTTGGCTGTTTGCCAGCATACATACTCAGGCTTATGCAGTGGTAGCATGGGTATGTTCTTGTGCTCAGAACATACACTGTTTCTAGATTACTTCACAGTTATTCATGCATGTAACTGCTATTTTCAATAATTATCATGATATGAAATTATCTTACATAAACTCTTATTTTTAAGTAAGCAGGGCCAATTTTTATACAAAAGCGTATCAGCCATCCTCCCAGTGTTATAACAGTCAAAAGGTTAGACAGTAATCAGTCATGTTTCAGAGGTAAATTTTGTGACTAGTTAGCTCCATAAGTACTTTGAATAATGAGGAATGCAACACTTAGTTTCCAGAACTGAAGCTTCATAGTTTCTAGTATTAGCATTTTTTCATGTTCCTGCCAGAAAAAATTGCCTCTACCTTGTGCAAGGAAGTTCTTCATAGCTAGATTAATTTTTTTTAGGCAAATACCAAGGCATAATTCAAGTATGTTTATTTGTCCCTTGATCACAAACCCTGAGAACAATTTGATGCTCTGATGCAGACTATTGGCCAAGACCATGATAAACATTGCATTAAAATAAAATTCAAAGCTTTAACTTAGAACTTAGATCTTGAACCTTAGCTTTCAAAGTCATTAAGGCTGTAAGACCTTGAACAACAAGCTATGTCTGTACACACTCTACACTATTCAGGTGAGAGGTCATGGTAGTTTGAGCATTAGCTATATTTTCATACTCAATGGGATGCCACATTCCAGGTGTTTGGTAGGCTGCATGAATATAATTTTAAAATGGAACTGGCTCCTTGATTTTAGTGCTGGAGGATAAATGACAACAGTTATGAGCTCTATAAAAATATATTAATTCACTGAATGAAAAATATGAGCAGTCAATAATGGTCAACTGAACACCAATGATGTCCAGAGATGATAGTAGCTCAGAACTAGCTACTTTTTCATGTCACTTATTTTTAAAATCAAACTTTTGCCTAAGAAGATATTAAACTCCTGGATGTGAGCTGGTACTACATGGTTGAAATGCATTCTGAGAAACCCCCAGTACCCATTAATTAGCATGGCTAACAAGTGCAGAAATAGAACTATTAGTAGAAACTGTATCATAAAATATGCAGCCCTCATGAAAATTAACTTCAGCACTAAATATGGCATGGAAATCATTTTAAAAAAACACTGATTCACATATCATTAATGCAAATATCAAATAGCATATTGTTGATGAAAATACCAATTTGTCTGCACCTGGACAAAATCAATACCACGACAACTTCTTATCAACATTTTTTTTACTGTATAAATATACTATTCAGCCCTATAACACAATAATTATGGTAGATGACTCCCCAACACAACTGCAACTCATAGATCATTGCCATTAAAAATAAACTTAAGGGTTTCTTTCTGGTATCAAAAAGCAGAAGAGAATTTGCCAAATGTTGCTATGCAAACTTAATCTCCAATGTTTACCTTTGCAATTGTAACCAGATTGCTCCTATCCAGAGGTAATATCATCCGCCTGCCTGAACTATATCTAACTGCCCATCAGGAATATCAAACAGTAAAAAAAATTGAAAGCAATTTGAAAATCTAAAAGTAAACATTTATTTTGACCACCCATGAAGAGATACTTAGGGGCAAACCTAGGACAAGGAGTCAAGGCATGATGCCTATGGGCACACTATTGTATAGTCTATTCAGCAGCAAAAGACACACTTGGTTGAGGACAAAAGATTAGATGGATGAGAGGCAAGGAGTCAAAGCGAGATGTGTATATTTGGCCTCTGGCAGGTCATTGCGGGGGGGAGGTCAAATGTTTATGACACACTTCAGTGTTGTCAGATGAAGGACAGCACCCTTCAGTCATCTAAGAGATCCATTGGGATTCCACTTCACCTGATTGACCGAAAGAAGGTAGCAAACCCCGACTTTCAAGGAAAATCCTTCCATTCACCATATCTCTGGTGAGGAACAAAAGTGTTAATAAATGACCAAGGCTCCCCTTGACCTATCACATCAAAGCCACAGGTGTGTCTTTTGAGGCTGAATAGACTACTTACTTGCCTTCTTTTAAAAAAATTAGGACATACTTACATCCCCTCCCAAGCAAAAAAAGGAGAGTGATGGCATAGTATGTCACTTATTAAGTTATGGTTAGTATTTAATTCATCACCAAATAATATTGACTGTCACAAAGAAGTAATGATTCCTCACCAGATTTTAGTATTAATATTTGGTCACTCAATGAATTTACATCACCAAATGATTTCATCACCAGACCTAATGAATCTTACGCCAAATTCTCCCTCAATATTTTCACCAGATGCCATGAAATGATCACCAAATTTGATTGAGTTAGCACCAAATCATTGTCACATTTCATGTGTCAAAAGAAACAAATTTTTCTTTTAGCAGGCCTGCAAGGGAGAACATACTGACTATCCCTGTTGTGATTCAGCATTCTGAGTGAATGTTTGCAAATGCCAGTCTTGATCTGAACAGGGCATGTACATCCAAAATTTGGAGCTCTCACAACTCAGAGGGAGCGTCTTGTTCTCTTCAAGTACTACTAATACTCCAGTTTTCTGATTAGATACTCCTGTGCACTTTTCCGAACCTCTTCCCTTGTGGGGTTGCCGTCACTGCAGGCAATGAAGGCGTCTCTTTTTGTTTCAATGTCCTCAAACTCTAATTGCCATGGCACCTCTAATGCATAGGGCACACAGAAACTGGAAGTCAGCACCGTACACAAATCCCATACATGTACACAAGCGCAAGGAGACTAGTTACACACACAGGTCCTCCCTTGAAGTCCCTTCAAAGCATGATATGACCTTACAATCTCATCTTGACATCACAGGTCTAACCGGAAATAAAGAAAAATCCTTTCCTTGATAGGGTTGCAAATGCTGAGAATGTCATAAGTTCGATGATGAGATCATTATTTTGGTGTGGGATGATGCAAATTTGGTGATACCAGCACCTGTGGTGGTGCAATCATATTTGGTGAAATCAAAAATAAGAATTTGGTGAAAATTCATTGTGATCTGGCAATGGAGCCAATACTTTTGTGGGCTGAAATTATTTGGTGACAAGTTCATTATTATTTGGTGGGTGATTAAATACCTTTCTTAAGTTATTGTAATGTCACTTCTTAGCAGGCATGGAAAATAGAAAAGGAAAGTGGATAACGTTGGTTAATAATTTGGTGGTTCCCTCCCATTACTTGCCACAATTCCAACTGACACAGTATAATATGTGTGAGATTATGACAAGACATCAGCCAATTCATTAAATATTGCTATTGGTACAACCCTAGTCAAATATTGTTAGAGACTGAATACCAAACTATATAGGTGCTAAACAATTATAAAACCTCAACCTCTCCAGGAATAACCTTTCTTTTATTTTGTATAAAAATGATATCTAATAAAACCCAAGTTACATCTGCTTTGGCCCACAATATTGGAATGAACTACTTTAATTGCAGATACAGCATTTTTCACTAAAACCAGGCATTTGTGCATGGGAAGTTCCTCATGAATGAGTGTCAAAGCCAACTGAAAAAATGTCTGACTAAATGGATAAACATTGCAATGATAATCATACTAATTACAGCTTCTGACTAGCACTGAGAACCAGATTAAGCTTAGCCTACCTTGCATGGGTACCACTTTCCATTGAAATCTCGCCCCTCAATATGTGCTCCTTTTATAAATTGAAGCTGCTTCTGGGTAGCAGATGAATAAGTGTGATGGGATCCATCATTAGGCTTTTCAACTTGTACCTCAGAAGTCAATTCCCTAGAATTCCTCCTTATCATTTTCTTGCCAAAATATCCAATCTCTCTCAGATCGATTACACTGCAATCCATGAACCTATACAAGTTAAAGTATGCTAATGTGAGAACCAGAATGGAAAAAATTAAAAGGGCACAATTGAGATTTATCTGATAAGGCTATGCCTATAAAACGTAACCATGGTGACTATACTCAAGTGGCTCTCATATTAGTAGCCTTGCAGCAGAAAGTGACTTGCTATCATGACGCTAGGGCAGTCCAGTTCAAGTTGGCCTACAGACCAGCAAGTCTGGATATGACCAGTATGCCAAGAAAATTTATAGCCTTGGTGTTGGAGTCCCACATCAGCATGTCAGCACTTGGCCAGCAGTTCGCTCATTACCCTCCCCCTCATCTCTCCTCAGTAGGCCTAGCCTACACCCGTAACGCACCTGCTATAACCTGCTACTAACTTAGTCGATACATTTCCTACCTATTGGGATGGGCATTTTCGCCCACACTTTTGAACTTCAAAATTCCCTTAACGGATTTGTTACTCGAGTATCCTGTTGCTGAGTCTTTCCCAATAAGACGGTTACTTTTTTATGATAGGCCCAGCCAGAGAGCACATGTCCCTTGAGCCCGAGTTTCGGTTGATAAAAATAAAAATTAGTGGTATTCATATTCGAGCTGTGGCTATTGTACGTACGTTACACACCCACTTGCACACCACTACGCACACAGAGATCTACTCAGCTGCTGAATAGTCCGAGTTGTAACGCATATGGCACAAAACGTTATGCCTAAATTGCTTGAAGGTTGTCAAGGTTGGTTCAATGTGGAGAGTAGGGAACGTTGACCTAACGATGCTTGAGTGGGCATGCGATGTAGAGCGCATGTGTGCTACCAAAATTGCACCAATGCTCGTATATTGTTGGCGAGATGTGCAAGGTTGAGTGCATGTGGCCTATCAAGGTTGGTACGGTGTTTTCCACTTAAGAATTTTTTTTCATTAGACTAAAGACACTCGTGCAAGAAGACGGTTAAGCGCGTACCCCCTAAAGATATTGCACTCCCGCAGTCTCCGATTTTTCCAGCTGAATTCAACTTGAAACATGCCCTATCCATTGGGATTCCATTTATTCATATTAGACACGAACAAGATTCAAGATAGTGATATCAAGAGGCGATTTCGCCAATTTCGATATCACGTGTCGAGGTCCAGCGTTCCTTAATTTTAGGGTAGGCCTAACCCTCTTAAAGCTNAATCACTGTTCCCTCTGAAATCCCCAGTTCATGAGCTAAAACAGAGACTTTGGTGCGACGATCCTCCAGTATCACACTCTCCAATTTGTCACACATTTCCTGATCAGAAGCCTCCACGGGGCGCCCCGACCTTGGGTCATCTTCGATTGACTCTCTTCCCCACTTAAACTGCTTGCTCCAAAATTTAACTCGGTAATAAGAAGGCGAAGACACACCATAAACGTTAGACATACGTTCGTGAATCTCCTTAGGTGCTTTCCCTTCTTTGGTGAGGAATTTCATCACTGAACGATGTTCAACTTTCGTCAAATCCATGACACAGACTCGGGAAAAGAAATCTAATGCGCTACCACTTTGAACGGACTCGAGCCACCGAGCTGGTATAGTGGTGGGGCACTCACGAGACCTGTCGAGACATGTCACAGCAGGCACAGGCCTGTTGCTCATCCCTTTCATATTCAGGTAGATAACTTATTGAGTGGCCCTTGTAAATATTTTTGGGTCTCCTTCTGCCTGATTAGCCCCTTAAACATATCTATCTAGGAATTCCTCTACCTTCTCCTATGCTGTAAATGGGAAAAGATTGGGTGCTGTTTGAAAAACGCAGGGTACTGGTTATTTAAAGGCATCAGGATAAGAATAACTTCAAAGAAGAGAGCTAAGAGATGTTTTTTACTGTTGACAGCCTCGAGCGCGTCGTGGTGAAGCCGAACGAGCTGATCGGTGGTGCTTAAATTAGGTCGAAAGCCTGATGAAAAGGTGTGAGAAGGTTTAGAGATTCCAGATAGAGAGTCGAGCGGTTAGAATTCTTTCAAGGAGTTTTTTAAGAGAGCTGAGAAGACATGGGGCGGTAGGAAGAGGGATCTGAGGGATCTTTATCGGGTTTGGGTATCATAGTTACGTTAGCGGACTTCCATGCGGGGGGTGGTCGGTAGGAAGAGGGATATGAGGGATCTTTATCGGGTTTGGGTATCATAGTTACGTTAGCGGACTTCCATGCGGGGGGGGGGGGGGGGGGGGACGTGACCGAGATTAAGACAGGCGTTACATGTTAGATGAAGGAGCTGGAGGGCTTTTTCTGGAAGATGTTTGAGAGAAGCTACGAAGATGTTATCTGGGCCAGGGGCTTTACTGGGAAATATTTTAATCGCGGCCTCTATCTCTTCTATGGTGATTTTCTTTAAGTAGTGCTTCCTGATCGGAAGAGAGACTTTCAGGAAGAAGAGAGGGTTTGGAGAGAGAAAAGTTAGTTATTTTGTTTTGGAGATCGAGGCTTTCTTTGGGGAGAATCGGCCCCAGGGAGCTTAGCGGCTCGGTCATAGCTTCCAGCAGGGTGGTTGTAAGGGCTGAGGCTTTGCTGTCGTCACTGCAGTTTTCTACAAAAACGTTCCGCAATAAATACACAATATCACTCTGATTTGCTGAAGGGACCACTGCGTGAGGTACTCCAGAAAAAACCGCCAGGAAAGCTCCATTCCCGACCATTACTGCAGCAAGACGATGCGAGGCCGCACACTGCTCGTCTTACGAAGGCCGTTTTGTCAGTTTTGCGCTGGGAATTGCTGCCACACCTGCCCTATTCTCCAGACCTGGCTCCCAGCGACTATCATCTGTTTGGGGAAATGAAGAAACCTCTTCGAGGAATCCATTTTGAGTCTCTATCTGAAGTTAAAGCTGCGATAAATGAGTGGATAGAACGTACTTCACAAAGGTTCTTTGAAGATGGGCTAAAAAAAAATTAGTTACTCGCTGGCACAAATGTATGCAGTTAAATGGTGATTACGTTGAAAATTTTCACTGTAATATCGAAGAAAATTAGCTTAATAAAACATTAGCACGCAAATTCCTGGAACTTTGTAAACACCCCTCATATTTCCTGGGTTGGATGGACGTACCATGTAGGTAAGAGAAAAAAATTCAGTTAGAACCAGGACTTATATGCACCGAATATTAGAGGGGATCGCCTCTTCACGGAAAAAAAGTGGTGTGTCCATATCTTTCATATCCGAACTGTTTCCCTTTTTTTTTTATTTCGTTGGGAGTAAGTTTGTAGCATTATTGTAGTTCCCTTGACCACTACTCTCACGCGTTGGTTCCGTTCCATTCTCATCCTGCTTCTAGTCGTGAACGCTCCCGTCGAAGAGTAGGAGGTAGATCCACTTTCATAGTCATTTTTCGCCTTGAAGATTTTTCCTTGCCGAGAGGACTTCGTCTCTATCCTGTAGAGATTGAAACGTTGTCATTGGTCTGTGTTTGATCCTTGGATCGTTCGATTCGGAATTTTCTGGCCGCCGAGTTCTTTGGAGACTATGGAATTTCATGCTGGAAACCAGTTCCTGGGATAGAGGAAACTTACTGGATAGGAATTCTCTTAGCTAATCCGGGTTCCTCTTCTTGTGTTTCGAGTATCCCTGTCACAACCACATTCCGTTGGCTTTCGCATGTTTCAAGGTTCAGAACCCTATCCTCCCCCTCTCCTATTCTTTCCCTCAGGGTGTTCTCCATGTCTGGCATCGTCTGGGTCTTCGGTTCTTCAATTCGTTCGCTATCAAAACGGCGGGACTCTTCGAGGGAATCTACTCTTTTTTCACTTCTGACAGTTGCCGCTGAACACACGAGATGTCTCGTTTTATCTCTGCCGTGTCTTTCTTGATATGTGCCTGATCAGCCACAATTTTGTCCAGGACACTAGGTACACTTCCAAGTTTTTCCAGTTTTTCATTCATTACACTGAGCATTACTTCCAATCTTTCGAACTCCCCTCTTCTTTGGCTACCATGCATTTTCACAGATGCCATTTGCAGTTCGTCCCCGAAGGCTGAAAGTTACCTGACTTGTTCCCCCAGACTTAACTCCGCCACAGGTTTAATGATCTGTTCTTCAATTTCTGCATCTATCACTGTTTCACTAGCCTCTTATTTGGGTCTCGAACCAATCCCTTCCTCCAGGTCTGTCGCAAAAACGTCTGTACCCAGATAACACTTTACGTTGGGCCCACATTGGATAAAGGTGGGAAACGTTGGCGGAACGTGAATGTTGGGGAACGATGTTGGCCCCATGTGGGCCCAACGTGGGCATATCCATACGTTGAAAAGAATTGCAGCACTCCTGGTGGAGAACTTCCAAACCTTGAAGTTCTTCGCCAGGCCACTAGATATAGGTATGGGTCTCGCTTTTCGCACAGCACGCAAAAGTCCCTTCCCTCTTTCCCTGGAATCGTCCTTCTCAGGATTGTTTAGTACTTCGCCATATGTCTCGCCTTGTCTCATTATAGGAATCAATAAGCGCGGACATTTCATCATTTGTCATCCACTTATTCCAGACAGATTCATGGAGCTCAGGCCATAAACAAACTCATATTCCCAATAAGAATCCTTCTAAGAGAGATGAGGGGCAAACTTCCCTTCGCGCACCCCCACGAACTCTCAGCCCTTACTTTCGCACGCGGATAAGGTCCTTCCGGTCAGCTGGATCCGCAAACACCTTATGATATTCGGGGCATCTGTCCTTAACCCTTCCGATAGGATGTAAATATAATATCGGCTTAAATAAAATCACACCTTACTGATTCACGAAGTAAAACGGCTAGGACCCAATAGATTTCATTCTTCTTCGGCTCTGGTGGACCTAAATACTAAGCGCCCCAAAACTCTGATACTAACCTAAATAAATTCAGGTTGCTTTCTCAATAAGGCCGTATAGTTCCTTACTCTTTAATTAAACCCCTAAAGATAAAAAAAACCTCAAGGGGGAGATCCTGGGGGAGAAGCAGCTCTCTCTCAGGCTGACTTTTCCCCCATAGCCATGAGTCACCTTCTCAGGGCTAAGGGTGGATTTTTGAACCGAGCTCTAAAATAATCCTGCTTTATTGGATAATACAGCTTTATAAAATGGAGTATTATTTTTCCGATTTTTGAACTCGACAGATAAAGCTGCATTTTGTAATGCTCTATTATAATAATCCTTGATTATTTTCAACAACGATTGGTGACGGCAACGTCGCATCTCATTCGCGGGAAAGCGAAGTGGAGGGAGTTTATGAAGTTGGCAGCGCGCATAGCTCGAATTAAGCATTATTATAAATGGTCCCCACAATCCCTTGACAT